TCAGGTTGATTAAATATTAGGGAGTGAATATAATAATTACATTCACTGCTATTGTGCATTTTTTTTGCTTGGTGTGCTTGGGCATGATACCATCATAGGAAAAAGCACGGGAGAATTTATCTAGCTTTTGTAGCATAGGACAGAATAAGCACTTTGGACACTTCTCTCTGTAGCAAAATGTGGAACATTTTCTCTAGATACATCCATCTACACTTTGCAGCTTGAGCAGGGCTTCTTAGGTTGTATCTTATAATGTTCAAAGCAAGAGAGTAAAGCAAAACAAAACAGAATAGAGTCAAGAAAAGATTGCCAAAGCTCCATGTTAGCATCAGAGGTATTAAGCTGAGTGCAGAAATGTAACAGGTCCTAAGCTCCTCACTCTTCGTCATTTAGTCATTATTGATTTTAAATGTATTCTATGTTGAACAAATAAACTCTCCATCATTTCTCTGCAATTTTACATCCTGATTTGGGCACCGGTCTTCTTCTTTTTGAGGATTAAAGAGGCAGTGTTCATACAGGGTGCATGGCATTTGACCGCGTTATTTAAACGCACTGATTTCCCTGCTCCATCAGCAATTTCTGCAGTGCCTGCGGAATAGGAAGCGGAGCGACGGCGGGAGCGGGAGGAGAGCGGCGCGCGGGGCAGCAGAGGCGGCGGCAGGGCCGGCCGAGCAAGCGGGGGCCTCCTGGCTGCAGGTCCTGCTCCCGGAGCCCTGGGCAGCAGCACGGAGCAGGAGCAGCCTCGAGAGTAAAGCTTGGAGAGGCGTAATGCAGAGAAAAGGTGAGAGCCAACCCCGCCTGAGGGAAAAGGGCTTGGACCCCTGAGCACCGAGCAGTCTCCTGTTTGATTTCCCCTGTGTTCACAAAAACGGAACTTTGCACATTTCCTGCAGAAAATTAATATTGTGTCAAAGCAAAATCTGACTTCATCATCGGTGGCTCTTCATAGGGGCATCCATAGACCAGCTCAGTGTTCAGGTCAAAAAGAGTAAATTTTGATGATCTATTATAAAGAAAATGGACTACACAGAGTAGCAACTGCAAATATATTATGTTAACGTGTAATAAAAATAAAATGACTGGTGTGGAAAAGAAAAAAACTTGGCTTGTATTCCACTCCCCAGGGCTGACTGTGCAGTTTCATGTCCTTTGACTATACATGAACTTTCTGGCCATTCCCAATTTGTCACTGGCAATGCTTGGCGTGTCCCTGTTATGATCATTGCATTTATTTTTATAGCTGTTTTTATCTAAAGCACATGTTGTCTGTGGCCTTCTTCCCTTATCTTCTGGTGCTTTCAATGCTGCTCGGTACCTACCAATTCCAGAGCAAATATATCCTGCATGGTAGATTACAAATGAAAAATGAATGCTCTAAGACATCTTAACAGCTTATTTCCACCCAAGCTTCCAGCCAGTGTGCCTCTGTGTGTCTCATACATGTATCCAAATAGATGAAAACATCAATCAATACATTCACTACATTCATTTTTTCCTGCAGGGTGATAGTGGGGAAATCACCACAAATGCACAAGGCTGTTTAGAGAATGGCAAACACTAAGTGGCAGTGATTGAAAGCTGCTTTACGCAGAGCAGCAACATTTGATTTTAAGCAGTCAGGAAGGAAATGTTAAAGCAAATGGATATCCTGGGTTCTTCAGAAGAGGTTTCTCAAAGGGACGGGGACAGCGTCTGCCTCTCAAGGGTAGGCAGCCCCAAAGGGCCCTTTACCATAACGTGCTCCCTACATTTGTGACTAGCAGTGGTTATTGTTTTATATTTTAGAGCATAAACCCAATCAACGAAATCTCAACAGCAAAAGCAAGACTTTACTTTTGTTCCATTTCTTCCAGATTTTCCTGAAGGCATCGATTAGGTTTAGATCAGACGCCTCCATAACACACCTGTGGAATTGCAAGGAAATAAAGCTCCCGAGTAATTTGCCTCAAGCCCTTCCTTTCTTGCTCCGGGACAGCCCTTTCTCCTGGCTGCGATACTGCCTTGGGCCCCAAACCCATCTTCCAGAGAAGAGAATAGCAAAACGGCCTCTCAACTCCCTGGCAAACTTGGTGATTCCTTCTTCCTGAGCGTGCCCTAAAGAGGTGGGTGCAGCGCATTCCCGGCTGCGCCAGGAAGGCTGAAACGGTAAAAGCTGGGAGTTTCCTTCATAACAAACGTCCAAGTGAAGCTGAAAGCAATTCTGTCAGGAAAAGAAAGTTAGATAGTAATAATCTAATTTTGAAACCCAGAAATTCATTAAT